TTTTATGAGAATCATAATGTTTATATGTGTACTTTACGCAATACCCAAAGGTTCTCGATGATAAGACTAATTTCAGTCTTCTACGAGTTCCTTACAACAGTCAAAACCCTTATCAAGTCATAGTATATTTAATTATTGCTTCCTATGTTTATCTTAACGGTATTTTGTAAAATGTTATTATTTTTTTTGTATTGGAAGTATATTTTGTTTATGTTATTGCAGTGTAAAAAAAATTTGTAATAAATATGTAGTTGTGAAAATTTAAAGAAAAAAAAAAAAAAAATTTTTCTAGCTACAGGCTTTTTTTTTTGCCTCCACACTTTCTGGAGTAGCTGAACTGTTTTAAAAAGTTTTTTTTTATTAAGTTTTAGACAATTTTTTTTTCAGACCATCCGCAACTTATTAGGACTAATTACCTGAGCCCATTATTAACATAAGTATCTCAATCATATTTTCTTTTCAATTTTCAAAGAACCACAAGATATACTAAAAAGGACTGGTGCTTCAAAAAAAGAATCTTTACTACCCAAACAAAACATATGTTTAAACTAGAGCTATCAACTGTAAATTGGAACTTTGCTTTTCTCGAGATATGTGCTAATAACAGCTACAACCTTTTCTTAGATAAATTTTTTAATTTGTACGATAAGCATTTTCCTAATAAAACAATCCGTATTAAAAATAAAGGACTTCTTAATCCTTGGTTCACTAAAAACTTGGTTCACCTTTTAAAGTCTTCGAAGCAAAAACCAAATTTATATATACGCTTTATTAAATCAAAGTAAGAACGTGATAAGCATAATTACTTAGAGCAAAAATGTCTATATGAAAGAACTAAAAAATAGCCAGAACTACATACTTCAAAAACAAGCTGTTATAACTAAAAGGTAACTGCAAAAAAACGTGGGATGCTATTAAAGAGATTCTTGGAACAAAATACACAAACAAAGTCTTACCAAGCGTGATTACTGTAGACGGCACACAGATCTTTAATGCAAAATCGTTGGCAACAAAATTTAATGAGTTTTTTGTAAATATTGGTCCAAACTTAGCCAGCAAAATTAAACATACTCCTGCACATTTCTTGAGCTATCTATCGAAGTCGGATAAAAGCTTAGCATTTAAAAAACTCACTAGTAAAGAACTTGATGATTCAATAAAAAAAATTATACATAAATAAAGCAACAGCCTATGATTCTATTTCAGCAAGCATAATCAAAGACTGCTATGAACTAATTAAAGATGTTTTATTAGATATTTTTAACAAATCGCTTAAAACAGGTATTTTTCCAGATAAAATAAAAGTTGCAATCTGGAGTTGAAAGTCTGGTTATAAATTATCGACCTATATCGGTATTACCTGTATTTTAAAAAATCCTCGAACGTATCATGTATAATAGGATATTTGCATTTTTGTATGATAACTATCTTCTTTATTGTAACCAATATGGTTCTCGATCGAATTACTCTACGGAACATGCACTTATGCAACTTGTTGAAGTTATCAGTGGAGCATCTTTTCATAACAAGGTCACCTTAGGTATATTCCTAGACTTATCGAAAGCATTTGAAACCGTTAATCATCAGATTTTATTAGAAACACTAAAATATTATGGAATAAGCCGCGAATTCCATAAATGGTTTACCAGTTATTTAACTGATCGAAAGCAGTTTATTTCTCTAAATGATGGCTTTCAGATAAACAAACTTAAAATATCATGTGGGGTTCCACAAGGCTCCATCTTAGGTCCGCTGCTGTTCTTAATCTATGTCAACGTTCTATATAAAGCATCAAATACTATGTCTACTGTTATGTTTGCAGATGACACCACTTTATTCTATTCTCACAGTAATTTTATCTCTCTATTTCAAGTAGCAAATAATGAACTAGAACAAATATCAAACTAGCTTATTGCTAACAGCCTATTTTTAAACACTGATAAAACTAAGTTTTCCTTATTCCATTCTAAACAAAAATTTCAATCTATTCCAAAATCCTTACCAATGCTATATATAAATAACATCAAAATTGAGTGCTCATTCACAAATAAATTACTTGGTATTTTAATAGACGAAAACTTATCCTGGAGAGATCATATTAAACATATTAGCAATAAAATCTCAAGAAGTATTGGCATTTTATATAAAACCAGACAAATCTACACTAACTCAACTATATTTTGCATTCATAAATAGTTATTTATCTTATGGCATTATTGTTTGGGGTAGTACAAATAAATCTAAACTCAACTGTCTCCTTAAACAACAGAATCATGCAGCAGGCATTATTCATTTTCAAAATTGCTTCACAAATGCTAAACCTCTTCTAAAAAGTATGAGGGCAATTGATATTTATGAATTAAATATTTTCAAAATTACACAATTTATGTTTCAACATCAGTCAAAAAAAACGCCGAAGGTTTTCGAAAATATTTTCCCTAAAACATTAAACCGATACAACACGCGATCTACCGGAAGATCTAAAAAATCTTTCCGCCGATCAAAACTTACGAGCTTTTGCCATTTCCGACCGTGGCCCAATGCTATTGAACCATTTTACAACCCTAAGTGGTAAACTTAAGGAAGCCAATACCTCTCAAAAATTTAAAAAGAATATAATCGAACTTATTGCCAATCACGATTCTTTACATGGTTTTTTCTAACAACAAACTTTTATTTCCAATTTTTATTATCAAAGGTTACTGATGATAAGATTTTATCTTCTTCAGGTTCTGCGGTCTTCTATAAATAATGAAATGTACTTGTATTTAATATTTTTAAATATTTTATCGGAAATTACCTTTAATTGTAAATGGTTGCTTGACAAAAAATAAATAAAAATAATAAAAAAAAATAAATAAAAAAAATACGCAACGATTTTTTTCTCCTGGTGTTTTGATGTTTTTAAAAATATTACCTTTTTTAAAATCTTTTCGTTCGTTTAAGTGTATAATATCTTAATATGTTTTTATAAACACTCTATAAAACTTCAATAGTATTTTGTATTTTAAAATAGTCAAAAAAAGTTTAAAAAAAAAAGTTTTTAGTGGTAAGACTTGAACCAGGGCTTACTTAGTGCTGCAACATTTTACTTGTAACTACCTCAATTGCAATGGCTGCCAAGGGTTTCGTGTCAAATACGCTCGAATGAGCGCTACTACTACCATACTACTACTACTACTAAAAAGATTAAGTTTGGCAACAATATATAAGATTACCAAAGCACTCTAAATCAGCTCTTGCTTACAATTGCTTTTAATTTGAGAGTGTTGCAAGTTATCTGGGCTAGCTATAACAACCAATAAGCAATATTTTGAAACTTAAAATTTTTTAGTGATGTATATAATATATATATTGGAGAAAAAAGTGTTAAGTTCTGAAAACAAATTAGGTGATTTTTAAAAAATATTTTTTTTGCTAAATGATAGGATTAATGGGAACTTAATTTGAAAAAACTTATACCAAGTTAATAACATTCTATTGATATTAGTAGGTAAATTTTAAAACTATTTTATAAAAACCTATCCTATGAGAATCACAGCATAGTCAAGTTTTACCATCTGGTTTATAGTTTGTTACAATGGTTGTCATTTTTATATTTTAGAGTTATAAAAACGATTAGGAAAACAAACTAATTTTATTTTTAAGAAAATATTATGAAAATTACGGATGTTTGTGAAATTTTGTAAAAGTATAAGTATTATATATTGTACAAAATTGGATAGAAAAATCATACTTTTTTTTGTTATTATTATTTGGTTTTTTATGCAACTACTCAACTTCGCTTTTATTACTCAATACATTTGTTTTGATTTAAAATACGCGCAAAAGCCTCTCTTTCAAAATCAGCGAATCAGATTTCGTATATCTCTGCCTACCCAGTGAGATAAAAGATATCTTTAGACGAATAAAAGGCGTCTTTTTTATGACTTGTTATAATTAGCTTAAATAAAAACGTGGAAAAGACGTCTTTTAAAAAGACGTCTTTAAAAAAGAGGTCGAAAAGACGTCAATCAGTTGACGTCTTTTCGACCTCTTTTTAGAAGACGTCTTTTCCACGTTTTTATTAAGACGTATAAAAGACGTCCTTTAAAATCGATGACCTTTTAAAAAAAGAAAAGAGCAAATTTTCATTTAAATGTTAAATTAAATAACACCTAGTAGAAATTTTTTTTTAGTGAGGAGGAAGAGAAAAATAATATATATATATATATATATATATATATATATATATATATATATATATATATATATATATATATATATATATATATATATATATATAAATATATATACATTATATATATATATATATATATATATATATATACATATATATATATATATATATATATATATATATATATATATATATATATATATATATATACATATATATATATATATATACATATATATATATATATATATATATATACATATATATATATATATATATATATATATATATATAATATATATATATATATACATATATATATATATATATATATATACATATATATATAAATATATATATATATAATATATATATATATATATATATATATATATATATATATATATATATATATATATATATATATATATATATATATATATATATATATATATAATTGCAGCTGTTTAGCTAGAAAATGTTAATGGGAAGAAGCAAAAAGTGGATGGCGTGGTGCCAGTAAGATGGTTTCGATATGATCTAGTCTCAATTAAGTTAGTCGCAGGTAAGTGATTTAAAAAGTTTTACCGTTTATTTTTGGACTACTTTTTTAATGTGTTGTGCTTGAAGAACGTTGTTAATTACATATTAAATTAAAATATTTATTTTCAGACGAAAAATAAAACCTGTAAACAATTTCTGTCAGTATTTACTTGTTCAATTGCCAGTGAAACGAACAATAGAAAAGAAGAAGCATTCAGTATCCTTGCAAATTTTTTTAAATATACTTTTAAATGATCAGAATAATTTTGTTGTTTTTATTTAGTTGAATGATAAAGTTGTTTATACAAAAGACTGGCTCTTTAATTTTTATGTTAAAGTTGTTATTTCCTTGTTGACTGTTGTCTGTTGTTAAAAAAGCAAGTAAAAAGGTGCACATAATGACAACAGATTTATCTTTAGAACTGTTTGCAAAACCTTTGGTTTGGATACAAAAGACTAAGTGAAAATGATACTGGAAAGGTACACTTTCTTACATCTAAACATCATTGCAGCTTTCTAGTCTTCATTTTTGTTTATGTGTATTTCATCTGTGTTGATAATGATATCGCCAGTTTTTATAATTTTATGTTGTTAAGTAAAGCATCATTATGTTTTAGGCTAAATAATATTAAAAAATATTTAGGCAGTTTTAGGCTAAAATAGATCTTTGATTAATACTTTTATTCAGTTTAAATGAATAACAAGGTGAACTTATTAGCTGAACTCTCAAGGGGTTCATTTGCTGAATTATCTTTTCGTTTTGATAGTCTTTAGTCAATAACGGATTTTTAAATTGTTATGAGTCTACAACACTTAATTTCAGCGAAATTCAATTAAAAAGTTACGTCATAGAAGATAGAAAAATATCAATATCTGTTTTCAATAACTTGGTTTTCATAGCAAATTTGAGAGATACAAATGTTTAACTTGGTTTAAGTACTACATAATAAAATATATCGTTGTAAAGTCATTTTGATGGTCGTAAATTTCTTCAGCACACTCATTTTTATATATTTTTAGACTGTTTACTCCTGTCCCAATCTAACCTAGTGGGTTCAAAAAGAAAGGCACGCGCAGGAAACATATGGGGGTTAAAAGAATTAGCCTTTTTTGAAGTAATAGTTGGTAAGTCTAATGTGTTTCACTCAGCTAATCAAGATTTATTTGATTTTTTGTATTACTTTTAAGCAATAGACTTTTTTAATGCTCACTCGTTTTTTAGAACTCGTAACCAGCTCGTATGAAAGAATTTCTCGATGTGAAATAGTTAATTTTATTCAACAACGCCAAGAAACAGAGCTCGCTTAAGAAACAGAAAAGAAAGAGAAAAATAAAAAAATATTCTGTGGAACAATACTGATGTTTTATTTATAAATTATTCTCCTATGTTTAAGCATATAAAAGATGTAGAAAATATTTCCTCTTTTATATTGACATCTAAAAGAGGTTTCTTTCTCGGTATCGGAAAGAGCTTTTTGTCATATTTTGTATGAAGAGCTATTATCATTTTCATTTGATAAAAACAGCTTTTCATATATGAAAAAATAGGAATACTATAATGTATAGAATACTATAGTATCCTAAAAGGTATGACAAAAAAGTCGTTCCGGACCCGAACAAAAACACTTTTTAAGAAGTGCATAACTGATAAACAAAAATGTCTTAAAGACGCATTTTTTATGTCTTTTTTTGACAAGATAAAACCAAAAAAGACGTCTTTTCGATGTCAAAAAAAGATGTTTTTTAGATTTGCATATTCGACTAAAAAAAAGCGTTTTAAAGACGCATTTTTTATGTCTTTTCATGACAAGATTAAGATAAAAAAAGGCGTCTTTTCGATGTCGAAAAAAGATGTCTTTTAGATTTGCATAATCGATTAAAAAAAGACGTCTTAAAGACATTGTAAATAAGACTTTTAAAGACTTCTTTTCAACGTTTTTTTTCCCACTGGGTATTCTGAGTCTGTGTAGGGTTTCAAAATATGCAACCTGTGTAAACCACAATTTATCAAATGTCTGCTTCAATTTTATTGAAAATTATATTTTTTTTCAAATGAAATCTGTCTCACTTTGCCCTAAATTTTGGAAAAAAATGAGAGAGGGCTGTTATTGCCATTTTAAACTGAATTATGTACTAATGCAACAACATATCAATATAAATCTTCAAGAGATCATTAGACACATAATGTACTTGTGGCCTGCAAAATTTCATGTTTTAAAACGTGATTTTTCTCAAGTAATGAACATTCTCTAGGGTAATGGGAATCGAACTCGGAACCTCTCGCTTATGAAGTACGAAGTACAAATTTCAACATATATTTTTTTTATGATTTTGAAAGCTTATTTAATGCTCTTTTCTATTGATACAAAATATTTAAAAATAGATAAATAAAAGTTTTATTGTTACAGGATTAAATAACGTCACTCTTCATACACGAAACTCATATCAATAAAAAGTTTGCTTTAAATACGCATGCGCACACGAATTTTTTTTTTAAAAGCGGCATGCGCTATTATTGTTTTAAACAGTTTTTAGTTATTTTTAGTTAAGGCAAGTTTTTAATTAAGACAAATGAATTACCTTTATATTCGTCAAAAAAAAGCTTCTTATATCAGTTTTTATTGAGTTTATATTTGAAACAACAACAATTTAAAAAAATCAAGCATGCTGTAAAACTTTATTCTATAATAAAGCAATTAAATACAACGTATTAAAGTAAATACCAAAAAAATTATAGAAAAAATACTAAAAAAATATTTTAACTAGATTATTGTCGATTTTTTACATCAAGCATTTCTACAACAAGATCCGATAAATAAGCTCCTTTCTCACTCATGCTGTTTAACGCATGAAGTACTTTTAAGACCTCATTTACTAAATACTTTAACTGAGGAAGGATAAGAACTATTTTAGCAAATTTAAGAGGATTTTCTTTGTGGCGGTTTTTTGTATAATACTGTAGAGAAGAACAAAACTGGTTACTAAGTGCATGCACTTTTGCAGGACGAGATAACTGTGTGGTTTCTAAACAAATTATTTTTAAGTTAAACATTTTTAAAGTTAATAAATTATTATTTGTACAACTAAAATATCATTAAATATCACTAAAATATCAGCTAATTATTTTAAAATTTATTCTATTTAAAAAGTAGACCTGCATTTGTTAAAATAATGGCTTTGAAGCATGAAATCTCTTCTTCGTCTAGCTTGTATCCTTTAGTGCGATGCACTAAAGCCAAAAACTGGTCATAAATAAGACCAAATCCAAGCTCGGTGGCATCTTGCTTTGAAATATCAAATGTATGTGAAAGCTTTAGCGAATTGGTTGAGGTTATTGAAAGAAACAACCAGTTTGCTACCATCAATTCAACCCAGGTTGCTTGTAACAAAACAGCTTGATCACTCAATATCAAACTTGAGTACCCTGGAATTCTTTTTGCCCAATCAATAATGTGTATTAGCTGTTTTCCTATTGTTCCATAAAACTTATGTGTAAGTGTGCCGTTTACTGTTTCATCTAATCCAAGATAAAGTTTTGAATGTGTTAACCTTAATTGTTCTATTATGTTTTCATGTTCAATTTCAAGCGGCGTAAGTACGCTCTCAATGCATTCATCAGGGTTTTCAAGTCGTGGATAGTTTTTAGATTTTGTGTCTCTTATGTCGCGTTTTTTAACCTTTTTACCTAAAACTTCAAACAAATTAAAAAATACAGTGAAAATGTTTTTTTTTTATATAAAATTTCTATTGTATGATTTTAAAGTTCTAAACCTTATCTACATTTCCTGTTATAAACTTCGTGACAACCAACCCACATGACAACCAACACCGCTTTCCCCTATGCACTTATTTTATTAGGTCGCAACTTTTAAAAAGAAATTTATATACTTATTAACTAAATATATTTTTAATGCTTTTTTTTTTAATATTATTTTAGCAATTAATGTCTAGAGAGCTGGTTAATATTTTTCAGACCTTGTCAAATTGGTTTTGCTTCAGCGTTTACTCTCAGGTGCTTAATACGAAGGAGGGGTAGTTAGTTAACTTTTGGAAAATATACCTACCCTGAACGTATTAAAATTTATTAAATTCATTCGTTAATTAAATTTCACTTATTGCCAAAGAAAACTGATAAATCTACTTTTTGATCAAAATGAAAACTCTCATTGTAATCAGCTCCTAAAATTTAACAAACATTAAACAAGAAGTCAAAAAGTTATTGAGAGTTTGTATTAAAAACTGAATAACTTGTGTTGCTGTTATACATTTTTGAGTTGTTTGTCCGCATTTCGATCCCAGAATCCTTAGTTTTAAGTTATTCAATATATGCCTGACGAAAGCCAAACGGTACCCTATTGACTTCATGTAATTGGTATAATAAAATACAAATACGCAATCGGTAAGATTTTTTGCTAGATTGATCGCTATCGGATCAAAATTTGGTAAGGTAGTTCTAAGAGAGTAACTCCTTCTCCCCGGAAAAATGATAAAAATAAGAAATCAAACATCAAATCAGCAAGTGGATGATTATTTAAACGTTCAAGATTAAGTGTCAGTATGAAATAAAAAAACAATGATTTTAATTTCGAAGATTACGCAAAATAAACATCAGATTCACTGTTTTAGCACTAACCTAATAAACAAAGAACATCATGGATTTCTTTATCGTAAAGAATGCACATCGAGCTTACTTGAAATTTGGGATATACTAACAAAAGCAATGCATCAAGGCTACGCCACTGATACCATCTTCACTGACTTTGTGAAAGCCTTCGATAAAGTTCCATACGTCAGACTTTTACATAAACTTTATGCCTATGATATAAATGGCTTGTTCTTGGACTGGATAGCAAACTGGCTTACGAATCGTTATCAACGAGTTGTAATTGGCAAGATTAAGTCTAAATGAAAATATGTAACAATTGGGTACTCCAGGGCTCTGTGCTTGTTCCGCTTCTTTTTATCTTATATGTAACAATCTGCCGGACTATATTATTCATCACATAAAAATTTATTCCAACAATTGCAAAATACTCACAGTTTTAAAATCTGAGAAGGACAAAAGAACCTTGCAAATTGACATAGATTACTTAGTAGATTGGTTGCATAAATGGAAAGCAACTTCAATAAGTGTAAAGTTTAGCACGTCGGGCGTGGTTACTCCAAATATATTCAAAATTATTCAATGCTTGACTTATGTGGAAACAGAATTCAACTGGACGTCACTAAACACAAGCATAATCTTGGAGTACTTCTATCAGACAATCTTAAAGTAAGCTATCAAGTCTAATCAGCAGCAGCAAGAGTGAGCAGTAAACTTATTAGACTAAAGAAAATATTTAAGTCATGGACTCTATTTTTGGAAAGTACTCTGCAAAAACTATATAATACAGTTAGAATTTGCTATCTAGGCTTGGACAACACAAGGAAAAATACATTGCTATTCTAGAGCAAGTACAGCATAAAGCCACTAAAACAATCATTGAAATAAAGCACTTGTTATATGAAGATTTAAATATAGTTAAGCCAAGATGACGGAGTCAAAGAAAGGAGAGTTCGAGGTGATCTGATTCATAGTTTAAACTTTCAAAAGGTATTGATCAAATCATTTTTGAGAACCCTTAAGTCTAGGCACCATCGATTTCCAAATACAATTTGCGTGAACATTTTTACTTTTCGACGTGAACGTCAAAGAGTAAAAAACTGCAAAGAAAGATTTCTTTACTAATCGCATTGCTAATGTATGGAATACGCTACCTTTGAACGCCATAATTGGCTGAATCAGCCAATTCGTTCAAAGGTAGGGTTTACAACTTCAAATTTAATATAGATGAATGATCGGATACACGAGTGTCTTTTCTTTCAGCACGAAAGTGCCTGGTGCAGCACATTCTCATCAAAATGTATAAATGTAACATATGCAAATGAATTGATTTCTGAACTACATAAACTCAAACTCAAAGTCAAATTATTCAGCTTCTTGGAGACCACGTGTAAAGACAAGTTACGCAAATGATACAAAATGAAGTTATTGAGGTAATGGTTGATTTTTAATAAATACGAGTTTCTTGAATAAAAAGAAAAAAAACTTAATAAAGAAAATCAAACAATAAATTATGAATTCGCTAAAGCATAAAGGATATTGCACAATGGAACAACAAAACCTTGTTTTTAACAACCAATGATTGATCAAAAAGCTAAACTGGTGACGGAAGATCATTAATGTTATCAATGGTTAACTCAAAATAGGAAAGATGGATCTGAAAGTAATGAAGAAGTATTTGAAGGAATTCAAGAAACATTCGTAATCTAATTATTAAGCTGCAAATAAAAAACTTAAAAAAAAATTGGCGAAACAAGGAGAAGGTACTGATTATTAATCTCCTGAAAAAATTTTGTACTTTGGGGAAAATTATCACAAAAATAAATTGGATAAAGAAATGTTAATTGAAAATGCTAATTGAAATGTTTAAGAAAGATAGGAGACAACCAAGAAAAATAAACTCTGCTTCAGATGTTTGTTTTTATCACTTGTCAAAAGAATGCAGAAACTCAAGAACTTGTGGATTGATGGTATATAGTCGCAGGGTTCTGCTTCACAAATCTAAATCAAAAGAATTTCTGAGAATTGAGTACAACTGAAAGAACTTCTGAGGAACCCCAAAAAATAGAAATGATAATAGAAAGCTTTAATGCGTCAAACAACATTCAAAACACAAAAACTGTAAATCTCTTCAAACGGTGAATATGTGAGCTTTGGGCATACTTTGCGTTATCGGTAAGGAAGGATGCGTGAATTATTTTGTTAAATGTACTTCCAATGCGCTCTGTGACAAGACCAATAGGTCTTGTTGGGACATAAAAACCAAATGTATATAAAAAAAAAGGGTGTTTTTAAAAATCTGTTTTTTATTTAATATTGCCATTTAATTTAAGCGAAAACACATTTTATAAAGAAGTATACCTTTCATTCACCTTTCGATTTAAGTTATATTCTAATGTTTATTTTTTTAACTTATACTTCTAATGCTTGTTTTTTTATACTTCAATTACTTCTTCATTTAGCTTTCATTTAGTTTTTGAATTTCGAATTTCAAGGAGCGTCAAAGATAAAATTTCTAATATATTAGGTTTTCGTAAACTTTATAGCTACTGAATAATAAATATTTGCATAGAATTGCATAAAATGGTTTTTAGTTCCAGAATTTATTCTTATACTACAGGTTAGTTCATTTTTGAGACTTCTATGCGTAATAGGCTAGTAATTTTATAAACTTGTTGTCCTATTTGAAGGCGCTATGTAAGTTTGACACTTACAAAGCGTGTCAAAATACCTTTAAGGTAACACCCAAACCTTTTAAGAAAGCAAGTCAAAAAAAAAGTTTCAAAAAAAAAAAACTTACATTCTTTTGACATTCCGACAGCATGACATTTTCCGAGACGACAAGCTTGACAACATTTCCTGCTCATTTTATTAATTGTACAATTGTTACTTGCTGGACATTTGTAATTGAGCTGTTTGAGTTGTAAACTTCTTTTGAAAAAAGCTTTACATCCTTCGCATGAAGGAACGCCATAATGATAGCCCGATGCCTTATCAGTGCATACCAAACACAGCATTGGTACAGCATGACGTGCATTTGTCATAGGTCTTTTATTTTGAACTAAACCTTTTTCCGACGGCGGAGAAGATGAAATGATATTAATTGTATCTTCAATAACCCGCTAATTAAGATAATAAAATGAAAATTTTTTATTATTAAAATATTTGTAAAAAGTTGTAAATAAAAGATTATCAAGTGATTTTAAAATTTAAAAAAAAAAAGAAAAAACCGGTATGTTTGATGACGATGTATTAATTGGTAAATTTTTATCTCCTTCATTTATTTCTTCTTGATGAACACATTCAACGTCAACGTAACTATCATCTCGATTGTAGTCAGACATTTAAAATTTTATTATGTATAATTAAGTTGATAAACGTTAATATGTTACAATAAATGTTTATTTAAAAAGTTTATTTGAATTGCATCTTTTAAACACTGTTTAAAATTAATATACTTGTAACATTTTTTTACAAACAAATACTAAATGCTATTCATGCTATACGATTAGCAACTATTCACTCGCTTATTCAATTGTGTTATTGGTTTGAGCATTGATTCCGTATTTAGTTTCTGTTTCGTTTTCGTGTTCATTACATTTACAAAACTCATTTTTATTTACTGAATGGTATCGATTAGCGAATAATATCGATTATTTATAGAAAAATGTGTACAGAAAAAAAAAGTTATGTATGATTTTTCAATATCGAATAAGAATTAAAATTTTGATTTTTTTTTTAATAATTTATTAAAAATTACTTTAAAAACAAAATATTCAGTAATTAGTTCGATATATATATATATATATATATATATATATATATATATATATATATATATATATATATATATATATATATATATACATTCGATTATATATATATATATATATATATATATATATATATATATACATATATATATATATATATATATATATATATATATATATATATATATATATATATATATATATACATTCGATATATATATATATATATACATTCGATATATATATATACATTCGATATATATATATATACATATATATATCGAATGTATATATATATATAAAATAAAGTAATTATCTTTTTTATCTAGTTTTGTAAAAGTTAATGATCATTTTAAGTTTAATCTCATTGTAATTCAATAAGATTTAGGCTACATACAAGCATTAAATGGACTAAATTTTTGACCTGGTTTCTTAAAAAAAGACCCGGTTTCTACAACATAAAAAGTTTGTTTTTTACATTAAGATAGCAAATCTTTCGAGGGGCTTTTTATTTTTATTTCCTTTTTTTGGCATAAACAAATTATTGACAAATAATAACATTATATTAAATGAGATTATAGTTGTTGGGAGGGTTAAGGCAGAAGTTGAGCCCCCCCCCCCGCCCACACACACATTTTTTCCATACTTTTTTAACGTCTGAATTATGAATTATCAATTTAATTAATACTTAAGTCTGAATTATCCCTGAATTATGTGTTTGTTTGTGTTTTGTTTAAGTTAAAAAATGACACCTATATAACAGTATATAAAAAATATTGTTGATATTATTAATTTATTACATTATATTATTTAAAGCAAAACAGGAAAAGATATCAGATCAAAATGTTTTATAAATGATAGATATCAGATCAAGTTTTTTTTATAAATGATAAAGTCTCTAATATAGAAAATATTCTTTGAACTGTCTTATAAAGAACGAGTTCTGCAATATTTATTTTGTATACAATTTAAAAATAAATTAATAAAATTTGCAGTATAGACTCAGTGATATATACGTAACTTGGAAAGATCATATACACATATACATTATTTTGAAGGTAAAATCTCGAGAAATATAGAATTACTTTATAAGGCAAGGCCTTTATTAAATCAAAATTGTTTAAAACTGTTATATTTTTGATTATTCATTGTTATCTGAATTACGCAAACATAGTTTGATGTAGCACAAATCAAAACAAAATTAAAAAACTCTTTAATAAGCAAATACATGCTATCAGAATATTATCTAATGTAGACCGTTTTACACACTCCAAAGAACTATTTATAACAATTAATATACTCACCGTCTACCAAATAAACATTTATCATCTTTTATTTTTTATGTTCAAAGTTAATTCAAAATAACACTTAACATTTTTAATTCGTTATTCATAAAAAATAAAAAAAGATACTTAACCAGATACTCAAGCAATACCTATATTCAGCCTAAAAGTTTTTTTGCAGCAACGGAGTTTTCAATATCTATTAGAGGGCCAAAAGTATGGAATAGATTTATATCTAATAAACTTAAAACTCATTAAACTCTTAAGGAATTTAAAGTAAAATTGAAACAAATGCTTCCGGTTAGTGACGGAGTGCATGACTTCTTCTAAAGTTATCTGATAGTACAGATAAGCTTTTTTAATTTATTTTAAAGTTTATCTTTCCAACCTATTGTCACTTTGGGCGAATCATAACCTATAGAGGAAGTGGAGGCATAACCACCCCCGTAAAGTGTGGAATAATGTTAGATGAAGATAAAAACGAAATGTGTTTTTTTACTAGTTTATTTCAATAACCACATCATTAAGCTTTAAATTGATGCAATTAAGAAAAAAATTAAACGATTTTTGAAAATGTTATTTCACAAAAAGTACAATTAGTGAAAAAAAACGGTTTTGCCTCCATTGTGAGGCACAACCGCACCCTCACAAAAATCGTTGGGGTACACCTTTCATGGTACATTTTCTTTACAGTTTTCACAGCTCAGATTATTTGATGATTTTGTTGCATGTTTGCATAATTTGCAGGCATTCTTTATATTTACATTTTGAGTTCTGCTTCAGAAGAGAGTTCTACCCCAGAAGAGAGTTTTTAGAAAGAATTTAGTTTCATAGCTTGCTTATTATATTATGTTTTTAACACTAAAATCAAATATTGCTTAATTCTCGAAAAAAAGGTCCGGAAAAGTATGATGTAAATATAAAATTTTTATCAAAATAAACATTATTATGCACAATTTATTAGAAACGTAACAAGCACACATTTTGACCTATGCAAAATGAAGGAAACTGTTTTACTAACGCGTGGTATGTTTTTTGCCATATTAGATAATATTTTTCCAAGGGAAATGTTAAAAAACGGTTGTGCCTCCTTATGCGGTTATGCCCCCACTTTCTATATATATATATATATATATATATATATATATATATATATATATATATATATATATATATATATATATATATATATATATATATATATATAAATATATATATATATATATATATATATATATATATATATATATATATATATATATATATATATATATATATATATATATATATATATATATATATATATATATATATATATATAATATATATATATATATATATATATATATATATATATATATATATATATATATATATATATATATATATATATATATATATATATATATATATATATATATATATATATATTTGGAGAGATTCAGATCCTTATCTACTTTACTTTCGATTAATAATATGAATTAGTAAAATAAGATTTTAAAAAAGCACTATAACTGATTTTCGGAAGAAATATTATATTAAATTGTTATGTTTTTGCCTAAAACTAAATAAAAGCGAGTGGCTAAATTATTTTTTTGTCTATATATAATATTAAACTTTATCTTTTATTTTGAAAATTTAGAAAAGACGGGGGTGGGGAACAAGTTGCTCTCCCCTCCCCTAACCTCTGACCCCCCCCTCCTCCCAACCTTCCTCATTACTAAGATCCCATTTGTTATAATTTTTTTTTGTATGAAAAAACTAGTTACAAATAAATAGTTTTCCTAAAAGTTAGCAATCTTAATTAAATAAACAAACCGGCGTCGGTTATTTTGCCGCGGCAAATCGGAAAATGTTATATAATCCGGTCAAATTTTAAGGAAACCGGGTCAAACCTCAGGGTCCAAAATTTTTGAGCACAGTCTTAGTCTTATTCATTTACCATAAAGTTAGGCTTAAAATGATCATATGAACATAAAAAATTAATTAAAAAACAGTGTTTTTGAGAGTTTCATTTTAAAGGTTATCTAACCGGTCATAATAAAAATTTTTGAGGTCAAATTTTGATATTGTATATATATATATATATATATATATATATATATATATATATATATATATATATATATATATATATATATATATATATATATATATATATATATATATATATATATATATATATATATATATATATATATATTCTATTTCACATCATACTATTTTTTAATGATGTTTGATCTCAGATCGCTCTAATATAACAAATCTTTTGTTTTAATTTGATAATATTTTTTGTGATACTGATAAGCTTAAAATAGTTGGTTGTTTTAAAACCTCTCTTTTTATTGTATAATTAAATAAAATCAAATATTATCTTTCAAATGAGCTATTGCAATACTATCATGTAAGTTATGTCAAATAAAATGATTTCAAATGACGGCATTTTTGAAGTATTTTTCACAGTTAAAATTTTGCTTATATTTTCGAATACTGATCGAAAATATAATCGAAATAATCGATATAATCGAAATAATCGATATAATCGAAATAATCGAAATAATCGATATAATTGAAATAATCGATATAATCGAAATAATCGGTATAATCAAAATATAATCGATATAAACAAAAATATAATGTTTTTTTATATATAGTTCAAGAAAACCTAATCCTAATATTTTTGATGCTGTAAATGGTATGAACTTAACTGCAAATAATAATTTGTCTAATTTCATAAAGCATCTTAGACAAAGGTAGCATGTATTCAAAAACTTTTTTAGAAAAAAGTTTAAGCTTTTTTTTTAAGTTCTTTTTGATATGCGTTATGTAGTAGTTTTTTTGAAATATAAAATAAAGCCCTGGAACTGCATAACAAAACCTTGCCGACTCCAGTTCTAATTTGCCGACTAATAAAACTTGTAGGGGGGCTAGACACCCCTACGCCGCCGCCCCCCTCATTGGGACGGCCCTGTGAGCATGTATTTAATTTTTTATGTGTATAAGATAATTTTTAGTCAGACAGCCACATTATTATTAGTCTAGTTTATAAATTCGATGTTTTAAAAATCATAAGCTAGTAACTATGTAAAATAAACTGCTGCTAGGCATTTCGGCTGTCACCATCAACCAAATATTTTTATTTTGTTGAATATTTGATTGATTGATTTTTTAATATGGGAGTAATCCAATAAAGTTTTTACTTTTTTCCAGTTTATATTTATTATGGTTAGTAAAATATGTGACTTCTAATTAATTTTGTTTCCATAGCAAACCAAAATTAAAACTGATGTTATTATTGAAACTGCAATCCTCAAATTAGTAAACAAATAGTCCTTAAATCTTTTTTATATGACGAGTTATTAGTTTTGTCCAGTAAATGTGAATTCAATATGCATTGGGAAGAAAGGAGGCATGAACTTCCTGTTAAATGTTATATGTGTTAGTTA